TATATATATATATATATATATATAAAATTTAAGTGATAGTGCTGTGATTATTACCCTCTCACTTCTTTGACACAAATACAGGTATCCTTGATTAACAACTGTAATTGGAAGTGGAAATTCCACCAGTAAGCAAGATGGTTGTAACGTACAAGGCCTCATGATCGTGGTGCTTAGTGACAGCAGTTCTGGGACTTCTAGTTGATGTTACTAAGCAAACCCTGTACTGTTGTTAAATCCTGGTAGCTTCCCCATTGAGCTTGCTTGTGGAATCCGGCAGTGAAGGTTGCAAATGGTGATTGTGTGATTGAGGTGTTGCAACGTCATAATTGCGAGTTGGTTGCCAAGCATCCAGATCATGATCACATGACCACAGGGTTGCTGCAGTGGCTGGAGCTTTGAGGACTGTTCATAGATACCACTTATTCAGCACCATTAATAAGTTCAAATGTCTCTGAACAAGTGATCACTAAGCAAGAACTGGTAATGAACATTCAAGACCAAGGGTGTCAAACTGCTGGCCCACGGGCCGGACACATCATGTGGAAGCTGCGCCCACACCATTGCCAGCAATGGCAAAACCGCCCCAATACGTTGTGCGACGTCATATGACGTCGCGAGTTTGACATGCCTGTTCAAGACCATTCAGCTTCCTTTCTCTCCTCTGAACCTTTATAGAACTTCCACAGATTCCTATCCTCTTATGTGAAATGAAGTCCTGTTCCCCATCTCAAGTTTAAATCATCTTTAAGCCCACATTTGTTTTGCTCATAAAAGTTAGATTTAATTCCCAATCTAAATCACATTCGTCCTCTTTAACTTTTATTCTAATGTCGAATATATGATTAATAACTAATTCCAGGAATAGGTCGGTATGGCAGATCCCAGTTCTGTATCTGTTGGGTTGCTTCATATTAACATTGGGGATTTTTAGCAACTTAAATGCATTTTTGAAAGCTAAAAATAGACTGGTGACTTAAACAGAAGCCTTTTTTTCTGCCCATGTAAGTCAGATATTTCTTACACAAATATGCAGAATGTTGTAAATAAAGATTATCTTGAAAAGGAATTACAACAATTGATCGGCACTGGGATTATTTTCTGATTTAATTTTGCAAAGTGGCTTGTAATAATTTCTGTATATACTATCTTCATAGTCCTCTTACGCTTATTCAAAGTGCATTAAAAGACTTACTGTCTTTTTTTATCATAGGGAGCAAAGAAATGGTTCGGGTAATGAGGAAGAAAGGTATTGAGCATCACCCAAATTTCCGCGCAGTAAAAAATGTTCCCTTCGACCAGTTCATCCAGCTGTTGGCTCATGCCGGTTGCATGATCGGGAACAGCAGCTGTGGTGTACGAGAAGTTGGGGCATTTGGAACGCCAGTCATCAATCTTGGAACACGCCAGATAGGGAGAGAAACAGGTATTTAAAAACGGGGGAAAAATGGCACAGCACTATGTTTCTTTGTTTTAATGGAAAACTTTCTGCAGCCGTGTCAAATTCTTTAGTGAGACTAAGGAAGAATGTGTATTTTTCATTCTAGAGATAAGATTGCTGTAGTCATTTTCTTAGCCGGAACCTGAAATCTGCCGGGTGGAGAGAACCATCTCACAAACTGAAAGCTATTGTTTATGTAGAATTGATACGGGTGGTCCTCAACTTACCACTACAGTTGGGACCAGAATTTCCATTGATAACCAAGACAGTTGTTAAGTGAATTATGCCTGATTTTAGAACCTTTTTTGCCACGGTTTTTAAGTGAATCCCTGTAGCTGTTAAATGAATCACGTGGTTAAGCAAATCTGGATGTCCCCCATTGACATTGCTATTGGGAAGGTGGCAAACGGTGATCATATGACCCTAGGACAGTGATGGCGAACCTTTTAGAGACCAAGTGCCCAAAAACTGGCCCAGCCCCTGCTCCACCCCCTGCCCTGCCCCCACCCCGCCTGCCTGCAGGGCCACTCACCGCCTCCAGGGCCCGCCACAGATCGCCTAGGCAGCCCAGCAGCGCCATGGCAGCCACACCCTCTGCCCGCGCCCCGCAGCATCAATTGTGTGCATGATGGGGTGTGAGGGCAGAGTCTTGTCTACGCTGCCTGGCTACCATGTCCTTGGCTGCGCTGCTCCGCACGGGCCACGCTTGGGGATGACTCTCCTCCAGGGGGGGTGCTGGTGAGGGGGTCGTGGGGGGAGGCAAGGCTGGGGCAACGGCATGTGTGCCACAGAGAGGGCTCCGAGTGCTGCCTCTGGCACGCGTGCCATAGGTTCACAACCACTGCCCCAGGACACTGCGGCGCGTTGTAAATAACATGCCGACTACCAAGCTCTGAAATTTGATCACGTAGCCAGGGGGATGCTGGCGTGGTTGAAAGTGTGAGGACTGGCTGTAAGTCCCTTTTTCCAGTGCTGTTGTAACTTTGGATGGTCTCTAAATGAATGGTTGTAAGTCAAGGACTGTTTGTAGTTGACATTCCTAGGCAGTGTGGAAAAGAGGCTTTCTCCCTGAATGTGACAAATCAAAGCTCTCAGCTGCAAGCCCAAAATGTCGGTGTTCAGGCTAATTTCCACATTGCACTACCATTGCACTATATCAGGGGTAGGCAACCTTGGCTCTTTTATGACTCGTGGACTTCAGCTCCCAGAATTCCTGAGCCAGCCATGCTGGCTCAGGAATTCTGGGAGTTGAATTCCACGAGTCATAAAAGAGCCAAGGTTGCCTACCCCTGCACTATACCTATCTCTTAGAACTCGGCATTTCCATGTTTGTCAAGTAAATGTATGTTGGTGCAGATGTACATGGTTTTATGTTGGAGGAGTTGTGGTTATGTCCTGCAACTTGAACAGCAGAGAGTAGTATAGAAGAGTAAGCTCCAATTGGTCTGGCGGTTAGAGAAGGATGGTTGATTAGATAGTACACAAGGCCTAAGTGAAGACTTCCAGTAGAATTTAATTCCTGAATTCAGTTGTCATTCTCCCCTCTTCCCAAACTGCTAAAGCTGCAAGGGAAATGGGGAGGGAGAATTTGAAACTTGGAATGGAGAATATCTTGCTCATCTTATTGATGGAAATTGGGGGACAGGGACAGGCAGCTCTTACCAATGTATCTCTATGGAAGCAAAACATTTTCTGACTTGAACGAGGGGCTGATTAAAATTGTAATTTATAATCAAGAAGACGAGCCTAGAAAAGGTAAAATTAGAGGAAATGTCTTTTTGGTGTTTATTTTTCTCTTCCTGTGAAATAGGGAGCCTAATTACTTGTATGATTTCCTTAACAGAGTGCATTTCTTTGGATAATTGCTCCATGCAGTTAAGGGACCAAATAAGCATACTTACATTTTAATCTGTTAAGGCTGAGAATATTGAAAAGATTTGTGGACAATATAATGAAGTGCATTATTTCTCCATCAACAAAAATAAAAGCAAAATACACTTTTATGTTTTGTGTTTTTTATGAATATACCCTTTTATTAATTCAGCTCTGCAGAGGATATTTTAAAATATTCGTTTGTCAACATATATGAAAACCAGAACATGGATGTAATTTCTTTTATTATTTATTCAACCAAGAAGTCAAGGCAACTAACAGTAATTAAAATAATAGAAAAACTGACATTTAGGACATTTAATTGTTTAAATAATTATATTAACATATTTGCTGCAATGCAAGAGTAATGAAGTTGGATTTTTAAATTATTATCCAGCATTCAGTTCATTTGTATTAAGCAAGTATGCTTCATTTCAAATTCATTTTCTTCTGATATTTAATATTCTCGGTTTCTGGGTTTTTTTTGAGGAGAGAATGTCCTTCATGTGCGGGATGCTGATTCCCAAGACAAGATACTTAGAGCTTTGCACATCCAGTTTGGGAAACAATACCCTTGGTGAGTAAAGCCATACAAATGAGTGTAGGAAATAGTAAGGCACCAAGAGAAAATATTACTATGTGTTGCAAATTTTTCAAAGCATCAGTTTCATTCAAATAGGCTAATACACAGCATTGGGAAAGTGTTTGTGTGATAAACTAAATAGTATCTTTGTATTAAAAAGTGCTGTCCTACAGAGTAAATGCCAGTTTGCATATCTGATGCATATCTGTTTATCTGATGTATATCTGTTTGCTTCAGATTTATTACTACCATATATCAAACAATAATATATAGATAAAGAGTGTAGAGAAGACTGTGTCCATAGATATCTCCTTTGGCAAATCCCAGACTCCCTGCCCAGCTAGATATTTTTTATATTAAAATAGTTAAACTGGCATTCTATATAGAACATGAGTTTTTAGCGTCATCTTGATTTCTGAGAAAACTCTTATAACCCATATGGGTTCCACAAACTACCTTAGAGAATAAAAATGACGTGTGGCTGTATTTTGTATGGAAATGAATTGACCAGAAAAAGGACAAAAGTAAGCAGGAAGGTATAACAAATATTGTTCAGGAAAAGAAGCATATAGGAAAGGCAAATAGCATTTGGTAAATATGTGCTTTGTAACGGGTTATGTCTGTCATTGCAGCATTTTATGAATGGGCAATTTTTCCTCCAGTAGTCATTTTATAGATTGCCAATCCTTTTTGCTGGTTTTGTATTTTATTACAAATATATATGGTGGTATATTTATTTTCATGTACACCCTGAAGATGAGCTTGTGGCATATTGACTCTTGATTGGTGAATGGGTATGATCTGGCATTGACAAGCTTAGAGATTCTTTACAGTCCGATACTAATTATTTTTTATTTGTAATAAAAATAAAGTTTCATGTACAGTATTTAGTGTAACAAATAAAAAAAGGTTATAATAGAAAAGTTAGCCCTTTGTGTTGCATAACAATATGTGACCTGTAGTTCAGAACCTCTCTGATTTAATTTTCCTAGGTAATAGACAGTCCCAGGAATTTGTGACTGCTGTCTGACAATAGGATTGATAAAATGTCTGATTTTAGAATTATTGACCCTAGTTTCATGTCATGCACTTGGAATCCTAGATATTTTTTTTCTATTTAGGGTCACAATTATACAGTAGGTAGTCCTCATTTAGTGCCACTAATTGGTTCCAGCAACTTGGTCACTAAATGAAGCAGTCCTAAGTGAAAAATCACGTGATCACAACTGTGCCTATGTTTTTCTTTCCAATTTCCTTTGCTTCTTGAATCTTCCTTCAGATAGACTGGGGTTCTTTCACTCTGAGGACACCTTAGTGTGGGATAAGTAAGCAAGTTAAAATAAGAACACAGGTTATACATATGTTGCCATTAATCTGTGCATCGAGGCTTAATTTAGAATTTGCAGGATGGGATACCAAAGAACAAGAGCACTAAGAGAGATTCCAGGAGGGATAAATCTCGAAAAGGTTATTTAAAAATCGTCCCTGAATATGTTTACAACATTAAGCTAGAAATGCTTAGCATGGTGCTGGGATAATTAGTAAGATAAAAAAATAATGTTTGTATTTATTTTCATTCGAGAGGAAGAGATGCACCCTCTTATCCTTCCGCAAGTGCCTGAAGACCTGGCTTTTACTATATTCAAAAGGAATAAATGTAAATATAAAGTAAAGTAAATATAAAGTAAAGTAAATATAAAGTAAATGTACAGAGAATTGCCATTTTACTTTTTATTTTTAATGTTAATAGAACCATGGTAGCATTAATAATCTGTGTACCTTTTTGCCAGCTAATCAACTTGGCCTATATCTGATAACAGTATATTTGCTTTTTTTCCTACTCACAATCTGAAAGTATAACCTTGGCTTGTAAGATATTTTCCTTCTGTTTTGAAATGTTATAATTGCTTCCATTTGACGTTACAGTTCAAAAATATATGGCGATGGAAATGCTGTTCCAAGAATTCTAAAGTTTCTTAAATCTATTGACCTTGAGGAACCCCTTCAGAAGAAATTCTGCTTCCCCACTGTGAAAGAAAGTATTTCCCAAGATATTGATCATATCTTAGAAACCCAGAGTGCACTGGCAGTGGATCTGGGTGGAACGAATCTCCGAGTAGCAATTGTCAGCATGAAGGTAATTATAAATCAGAATGGTTTATATATCCATAGGGGGAAGTCTTGCTGAGAATATACACACTTATAATTTTAAGTAGTATGATCAATTCACCTTTCAAATATAATTTTAAAATGCACCCTATTCCTGTATGCCAGCTTATTAAAATGTGGCAGCTTCCTATAAGAGGGTAGCAAGTTGGTAATAAATTAGATATTCAGAGGAAAAAAAAAACCCTCTGATACCAGAAGACATATGGAGGAAGAAAAGAGAAAAAATGTAAAATATAACACATAGACTGCTCCAATAAGTATTGATCAGTATCAATTCTCTATAAAATAAAACATGTTTAAAAAACATAACAGATGTTTTGGGGGTTTGTATGCAAAGTGATTAAGGCCCACTCACTATCTTTCAGCCTAACCTACACCACAGGGTTGTTGTAGAGGTAAAATGAGACTAGAACCCCTACCATGGAGTCCTGGATAACAGGTGGAATATAAATGCAACTAATTAATTCCAGTTTTCAAATATAGTGCGCTTTAAACATTAGATCAGTGTTTCTCAACCTTGACAATTTTAAGGCATGTGGAGTTCAACTCCCAGCATTGCTGGCTGTGGAATTCTGGGAGTTGAAGTCCACATGCCTTAAAATTGTCAAGGTTGAGAAACACTGCATTAGATGAATTGGTTTAAGTGAAACGGTGATCTAAAACCAAATGAAGATCTGTCATGTGTAGATCCATCCTGATTCAGGAAACACAGGGTGGTGCTATGTAAAGCAGGAGTCCTCACCCTTGGCAACTTTAAGACTTGTGGACTTCAACTCCCAGAATTCCTCAGCCTCAGCAGGCTGAGGAATTCTGGGAGTTGAAGTCCACAAGTCTTAAAGTTACCAAGGTTGAGGATCCCTGATGTAAAGTATGAAGAATTGAAAGAATGATTGCTGAATAGGAATTCTGTTCTGCACTGCTACAGACAATGTGGTCTTGGGCTCCCATGTCGTAGCAAATCTGCCCTGGGACTGCATATACTTAGCCATTTGAAAACCAATTGTAATTAAACTTTTTTTAAAACTGTTTTTAATATAAGCATTGTAAAAAAAAACATTGTAAAAATTGCAGTTGATGGGTATTGTGTAGGTCCATTTCTCCCTTGGCTACAGTGGAGCCTCTTTTAGAGCAGCACCTTCTATAATGTTTAGGCTTCCTCAGAACAGGATGTTTGTCCCCTTAAAACTCTCGCTTGGTTCGCTTTTTAATTGAGAAGATTAATTTAATTTAATTTATGTTTAAACCAGGATTGTCTTACATTGTTCTTTTCCTGTTGCAAAAGGCATTGACTCCGCCATTTTCGTCCCCTTTGCGGGCCAGCAAATAAGCTGAGATTGAGGTTGGGCATGTGGTTTGTGTGGCCAAGAAAGTGCAGACAGGCATACAAAGACTTATCTTTTCATATAGTTAGTCCTCGACTTACGACCACAATTGAGCCCAAAATCTCCATTGCTAAGTAAGACAGTTGCTAAGTGAGTTTTGCCTCATTTTACAACATTTTTTTAACCACAATTGTTAAGTGAATTGACTGCAGTTTAGTGTCTTTAAGACACTTAGGCTCTCTTAAGCCGCTCTGGTTTCCCCCGTTGGCTCTGCTTGTTGGAAACCACTGGGAAGGTTACAAATGGTGATCACATGGCCCCCAGGACACTGCAACCATCACAAATACATGCCAGTTGCCAAATGCCTGAATTATGATCATACGAGCATGGGGATGCTGCAGTGGTCGTAAGTGTGAAAAACAGTGATAAGTCACTTTTTTCAGTACTGCTGTAACTTCAGATGGCTGTAAGTTGAGGACTACCTGTATAGTGTTTGCTTGCTCCATGGAATATGTGTCTCATCTCTTCAGTTTTGATTCTGACTGGTCAGTAAGAACTGACAGTGACTTGATGGCGCATAGTCTATCGCTCTGTGCTTGTATTTGATGTCTTTGGGGACCAGCACTTTTATGACAGAAGAAAGTACTTAGAAAAAAAAATAAGAGTTTGATGGGCTTTTCTTTTCACTTAGGGTGAAATAGTTAAGAAATACACACAATTGAATCCTAAAACGTACGAGGATAGGATAGAACTGATCCTTAAGATGTGTATAGAGGCTGCCTCAGAAGCAGTAGACCTGAACTGCAGAATTCTGGGTGTAGGTAAGTTTTATAAGCATTATATATATATTTTTGCTTTATGAAATCAAGGCAAGAATTAGCACCGTGCCCCCCCAATGTTGTTCTGCATTTCAAATATAATAGAAGGAATTGTTTGCTAAGTGCTGAATTTTACAGATACCTTGGTGTTCGTAAACTGCAAAATGAATTAATATATTAAAATTGGCATACAGATCTTAGAGAGCTAGTTTGGTGCAGTTTTGAAGGCACCAGGCTAGAAACTGGGAGTGTGTGAGTTCTAGCCCTGCCTTAGGCATAAAGCCCAGCTGGGTGACTGTAGTCCAGTCACTCTGTCTTAGTTATAGGAAGGAGGCATTAGCAAAACACTTCTGGAAAAACCTTCCCAAGAAAACTACAGGGACTTCTCCAGGCAGTATCCAGGAGTCAAAACCTGATCCAGAGGCAGTAAATAAATAAATAATATTCTCAAGTTCCGTGCCATATACTTATATTTCATAAGTTGTACTTCTGTAGGCAATTAAAAATTGTATATATTGTCTTCGATGATACTTTTCCCCTCAAAATTATAATAGGCAGAAAAGGCACTGACTGAGCATCAAGTGTTAGATTGAAATAAGCAGGACAGCTCCTGTTAACCTCTAAATTTTTGAAGATTTTGTCCTGTCTTGTATTCTTTGTGCAATACTGTCTTGTGTGTGTGTGTGTGTGTGTGTGTGTGTGTATGAGGTACAATGAACGGGATATATGTGAATTCAGACAATGGTGCCTCTGCATCTTATTAGATAATGCAAATTTAAATAGCAAATTGTGGCATGAGTTGACCCTGTGATAACAGTTCTTTATTTATCTGAGGGTTTATTGAAGAATTCTTCTTAACAGTGAAAAGTAATGTAAAACAGAACGGCTGAACTTCGTTGTTTCATTGTTGAGGGAAGTTGTTCAGTTTTGTTTCTGAGTGGGAAGCTAACACTTAACAAAGCTTTATTTTGGGTTTTTTTTTTAAAAAAATGCTAGAATTAATAAGAGTCCTGTCCTGTTCTTCGTATATCATGAAATATGCTGTGTGGCTCAGGCATTTCTACAGGTGGGAGAGTCGATCCCCGAGAAGGCGTTGTTCTTCATTCCACAAAACTCATTCAGGAGTGGAACGCTGTTGATCTGCGGACACCGATATCAGACGCCCTGCATTTGCCAGTCTGGGTGGATAATGATGGCAACTGTGCGGCGTTAGCGGAGAGAAAATTTGGACATGGGAAAGGAGTGGAAGACTTCATAACTGTTATCACTGGCACAGGTATCCGTTTCCTTCAAACTTCCTAAAACCAAGTTTTTTCAGTCTCGTTTGGAATCAAGTAATATTTCCACTTTGTACTTATTTATTGTAAGAGATCACGTGCAAATGGCTATAATCTCTATCCAGCTGTTGGGCACACGATTAAATCGGACAGGAAATCTCAGATTTGGGCAGGGAATTGAGTTCAGTGCAAATCATAGGAAGCTTCTCTTACGTTTTCTGTTATTTTATTAGATTGTAACTGATGCGAACTACAGGGCAGTGGCCACCACAGTTGAACAACTATTGTCTTTAAACACAATGTTAAGAATATAATGTTATGAAGGGGGGGGGGGGGCGGAGGAAAAACTGGATAAATGGAGCATTGGATAAACAGACAAGCTGAAGAATATCAAACAAGAATGGACCCAGAGAGAATGGGAGTGAAGGTGACAAATTGAAAAATAAATTGGATGGACAGAGCACCATCAAACACAGAATCACTCAAGAAAAGTCTGGGCCAGGGGTAGGCAACCTTGGCTCTTTTATGACTTGTGGACTTCAACTCCCAGAATTCCTGAGTCAGTTATGCTGACTGACTCAGGAATTCTGGGAGTTGAAGTCCACGAGTCATAAAAGAGCCAAGGTTGCCTACCTCTAGTCTGGGCAATCAAGTGTGATTATATATTTGCCTATGATAAAGATTCTTTTGGAATGCTATACCTTTTCTGGTCTTCAGAGTTCAGCGACAGCGTCCTGATATTTTTCTTTCAGGCATCGGTGGTGGCATCATTCATCAAAGTGAATTAATTCACGGCAGCTCTTTTTGTGCTGCTGAGCTTGGGCACATTGTGGTAGCAATGGATGGACCAGAGTGCCTGTGTGGGAACCATGGCTGCATAGAAGCCTATGCTTCTGGGATAGCCTTGCAGAGAGAAGCCAAGAAATTACATGATGGTAAGTAAGGTGCCGTCCTGTTATTTATGCCCAGGTTCACTGGTAGGATGTGCATAAGTGTAAGCAGCCTAAAAAAAAGTTCACATAACAATACACTTGTGATTTAATAACTACCATGTATTAATTAAGGTAGCAGAAATGCATACTTCTGCTTTTATATGCATGAACTTTGTTTCCCGAAGCCAAATCAGTTAATGGAAGCTTAGCTGAAAAGCAAATCTACTGGCATGACTACATTAGCTACTTTGACCAAGATACACAGGTAGTCCTTGACTTACAACCATTCGTTTCATGACCATTCAAAGTTACAACAGCACAAAGTTACAAAGTGACCATTTTTTCACACTTACGACCGTTGCGGCATTCCCATGGTCACGTGATCAAAATTCTGACCCTTGGCAACTGACTCATATTTCTGGCGGTTGCAGCGTCCTGGGGTCACGTGATCACCTTTTGCGACCTGACAAGGAAAGTCAATGGGGAAGCCAGATTCACTTAACAACCATGTTACTAAGTTAACAACTGAAGTGGTTCTCTTAACAACTGTGGCAAGAAAGGTTATAAAATGGGCAAAACTCACTTAATAAATACCTTGCTTAGCAACAGAAATTTTGGGCTCAATTATTGTCGTAAATTGAGAACTACCTGTATAAAACTCTGATCTGAAAATTTTCAGTGTCCCCATTTCCTCACTGTGTATTCCTCTTGTAGGAAGAATGCTGTAGATGGAACGTAGAAAATGCCTTTTTTATTGCAATTTTATCCATCGCATGCTAATGAGTAAATTCACTTAAATATATTTGTACCTTGTAATCTAGGCTGCTTTTCTATAATTCAAACTACCGTAATCTGATTTCAAAGACAAGTTTGAAAAAGCTGGGTCAATCTGCTTTCAGTCGTGAACAAAAGAAAATTTTAATCATAAGCTTAAAGAATGTAAAGAAACTGAAATAAAGAGCAAAAACCTAAATAAGGCTTTGATTTAGAATGTTATAAATGGAATAAGAGTCCAGATAAATTAGAATACCAAAACTTTTACACTAAGATTTTAGAATTAATTATAAACTACAAACATCATCTTGCAGGAAATAGATCTCTTTTAGTTTGTATAAGTCATTACAATGATGAACAATTTCATGATTTCAAAAACTGGACACTAGAGGGGACTAAAGATTTTAGAAAGGGGAAAGATATAAAAGCCAGTAGATGGTGCAAAACATTTTGTCGATCAAAATACTGGAGGAGACTTTGGAAGGATGGAATTAGATAATAGTAGCCACAATATCAACAATGTTAGTCATGATGTCTACTTCTAGGGATAGACTATGAAGAAATGTCAGATGTAGAACAAAGTTTATCTGACAAGATGGAGATGGTATCAAAAGTGGATTTACAGCTGACGGGAAGTTCATAATTTAGAAAAGGGTCTTTTACCAGGTGTACAACAAAAATTGTCAGATTTTAAAATTTGAGAAATACAAACTACAAATCAAGAGAGTGTTCTGGATTTAGGAGAATTTTATTGGATTAGGATTTCAAGAGGCTTCTTAAAGCCTTGAACTATTGATGATGGGACAAAGAAAAAATGAAGAGAAATCAAATCCTATGGCAATATTTGAATGAACTAATGATTAAAGTAAAAGGAAGTAATATAAAGCTGATTTATTTCATCGAAGTTTGAACAAAATATGTTATTACTTCTGGCTACCTTTCATGTACTTTCTGCTGATATCAGGCCTGAAAAATGATGTTTAATGGATTTTTCATAGATAAGAAATAGGGTATGGGATAAAGAAATAAATGTAACTTCAGAGAGAGTGGAGAGTCACTAAATTTGTGTATAGTTGCTGTGATGAAGATTGGAAGTCACTTCATCATATATTTTTCTTTATTATATTCTTACTTTTCTCTTCTCCTTTTTTGTACCTTTTACTCCTTTCTATTCTCCATTCTTTCTTTAAGTTTAATTTATATTACATTTTTCTATTTTAATAAAATCTTAATAAAATGTATAAATAAAATATGTAGATATGAGTACAGTATTGTGCATTTATAGGCAGTTGCATGAATTGAAAGTTACATTTGTAAATCTAAAAAGAAAAAAGAAAGTGGATTTCCTTGGCCATGCCAAAAACATTTTAAGGACTTAACTAAGATAAAATCCAGCATCAGGACAATGAGGGTTAAATCTGCATTTGCATTGCTTAGTCAGTTTGCTGGTTAAAAAAAACAAACAATCAGATTAGGTCTGTTCCACTATTTCCTGGTACATATTTATGTGGAATCATTTTACATCTGTAGGAAACCAGTGGGATTTTACGCCAGAAAAGAGAGATAAAACTTCATTTAGCTGCGCCAAAATTAATGTTATTGTATGACATAAGGTAGATTAGATTCTTTGTGATTTTTTTAAAAATGGTTGGTAAAATGTAATAATCAGCATTGTCTGTTTTGCTTCTTAACTACTAATTCTGCTTTCTTCCATTTTTTTCTCCAAACAGAGGATTCATTATTGATTGGAGATATGTCTATGAAAAAAGAAGATACAATAACTGCTGCACATCTTATTCAGGCAGCTAAACTAGGAAACCTAAAAGCTGACAATATTGTTAGAACAGGTAAAAAATACAAACATAAGACTGAAATCTTTGTTAGAATATTGGCTAGTGGCAAATATTGCTACTGCTGTAGCATCATCCTTGTTTGCTTCTGTTATAAAACAATACAAAAAATAGGCCTTTTTTCTTTCTCCCGATAAGATTTTAGCTTTCTTTTGGAAATGCAAGGAGATGAGAGAAAAAAATAGACCAGGCAAGGTAAGGATGGATAAAAGTGGGGGGGAAAATACAGTTAGATGTGCAGAGAATCATCTTCAATACATTGTGCAAAGCTTTGATAGATTATTTACTGTGGTAATGGCTCACCAGAATCACCCTGTTAAGTAGCCCTGCTCACATTTTTACATCTGAAACTAAAGTGACTACTTTGTTTTGCTTCACTTGTTTTTAAAGCTTGTTCTAGCAGTTGCAATTGTTTGGCAGACAAACAGAACTTTTCCCAGCAGATTGGGGAGACAGTTGAGGCTTTGGGGTAACGCCTAGTGCAGGGATAGGCAACCTTGGCTCTTTTATGACTCATGGACTTCAACTCCCAGAATTCCTGAGCCAGCTATGCTGGCTCAGGAATTCTGGGAGTTGAAGTCCATGAGTCATAAAAGAGCCAAGGTTGCCTACCCCTGGCCTAGTGCTTTATTGAGGCAAAACACGTTGACTCTTCGGTAGAACAAGATAACCACATTGTCTCTACAACTTAGAGCATCTCATTATCATAAAACCAAGCTAGTATTCAGCTAGTATTCTCCTGTTAGTAGAAGAGGTCTATCAGTACAATAGGAAAGGGAGCCTTTTTATCAGCGGAGAGCAGTCTTAATTTCTGTTTCTTTGGAGGACAAGCCCTCATTTAAATTTTGTTGAAGCATACTTGCTATCATAGAATCTAATCCTTGAAAACTTAAGAGATTTTACTGAAACCTCTTTAGGTAATCTGAATGTAGTGGAAACCATGTTTGATACTTCTCTTTTTGATAGCTCCTGTGAAAATAGACTCGATCCAATTTTAAGGAAGTTATATTTGTGCCTAAAGCAACACTTCCGTATAATCTAATCCAAAGAATAATTGGAAGCACTTTAAAAAAAAAAAAAAGTTGGAGCATTATTAGTATTACTGAGAACCAATTTAATATAATGATTATTATTATGATGATTATTATGAGGAGCCATGGTGATGCAGTGGGTTAGAATGCAGAATTGCAGGCTAATTCAGCTCACCGCCAGGAGTTCGATCCTGACCGGCTCAAAGTCGACTCAGCCTTCCATCCTTCTGAGATCGGTAAAATGAGCACCCAGATTGTTGGGCACAATACGCTGACTTTGTAAATCGCTTAGAGAAAGGCTGTAAAGCACTGTGAAGCGGTATATAAATCTAAGTGCTATTGCTATTGCTATGATTTTAGGCATTGGGATAGAAGTTGGGAGCCATGAATTCTAGTCCTGCCTTAAACACTAAGCTGGCTGATAAATTCAAGCTGTTCTCTCTCACACAACTTTAGGAAGAAGCTTGTGGCAGACCATTTCTGAAAATGTTCACACACAAAAAAATTGCAGGGGCTTCTTGGGAGGCAAAACTGACTGCAAGGCACCAACCCAGCCCCACACCATATGATTACTACTGTTGTTATTACTCAAACCTATACTCCTTTCCCTCAGGTGGTCTCTGAAAGATTCACCCTCACACATCTGTGTCTTATCTCTTGAGTCCATATTTGATGGTTTAACAGACAATGGAAAACAGGAATTTGGATTGTACAGGCATATTTCTGATTGTCATGAAATAATTTTTTATCCGTGAAATCGTATTTACTTTGAAACTCTACAGTGCTTCTTTGAATCCCATACTTACGGCTTTTTCTCCAATTCTTTTTTCTTTCATCTCAGCATATTATATTTTACTCTTATTTTAATTGTCACTTCTCAAAAATAGCCCACGAATTTGTAAAGATACCAAACATTTTTAATGTTTTGGAGTAATAAGCATGTTATATTGCATAGAAGAGATTGTTTTTATCATGATTAGTTAAGCTTTTATGTGACTCAGAATGAAGTCACATAAGGTAGATAATTGCTTCGTTTTGGACAGTTGAAAGTGGTGCGAAAGAGGCAGTTGCTAATTTATGGTCCTCTTACCTATAAGAGTTGTGCACATTCTGTTCAATTAGAGAAGATAGTGAGGGGAAAAAATGTAGCCATAAAGCAGCACATCTTGGGATTACTTTTCCAAGGATTCCTTGCTAGCGTTGGCAAAAGTCAGATGGATGTTTTAGTTCCAATATCTGGCAAGAACTCAGATGGAAAGGCTAGTACGTAATAAGGAAAGAGTTTCTTGTGGGGTCCTTGGTGTTCTCTGAGCTTGGTGATTTTCTTGCAGACATTTCATTACCAAATTAGGTAATGGAAGGATGTTCTAGCGCTGAAGAAGTTACCTAGTTTGGTAATGAAACGTCTGCAAGGAAACCACCAAGCTCAGAGAACACCAAGGACCCCACAGTTCAACCCTGAGCTGCAAATAGCCTCTTCCATCGGTAAAGTTTCTTTCTTGTGTAACTCTCATTCCTATGTTCTTCCTGACTCACATTTCCTTTTTTCCCTCACAGCGGGAACAGCCCTGGGCCTTGGAATTGTTAATGTTCTGCACACCATTAGCCCTTCCCTGGTGATACTTTCTGGCGTCTTGGCAAGTCATTATGTCAATGTTGTCAAAGATGTGATCCGTCAGCGAGCGTTATTCTCTGTCCAGGCAGTGAATGTGGTTGTCTCAGACCTGAGCGATCCTGCCTTGCTTGGAGCCGCTAGCATGGTTCTGGATTATACAACACGCAGGATATGCTAAACACCTGGGGGGAAAGTAGAAATCCTTACGAAGTTTATAACAGGAAAAATATTTCCTACTGATGTTGGAGGTTTTTGGGGTTGTTTCAGATGATTTTGTGGAAACCTCGCCATAAAAATCGTTCCCTTCCTTTATTTAATTGCTACTTTTATATGTTGGAAGAAACGAGGCTCAGAAGAGGACTCTCTTGTAGACAAAATGAAATTAAATACTTCTTGGGAGCTACAATTTGTAAAATGTTCTTCTGAATGTTCTTCTTCCTAATGTATTTTCAAATTGTTTTTCTCAGTAGGTGGTAATTTCAGTAAGCAGACCTTTGTTAAGCAAGTACAGAAATATCCCTGACAGATATATGTAACCATTTTCATCTCTGCAGAGCTAGGCAGGCATGATCTCTGTGTGAGAGAAATTGAAAACATCTCACGGTAAAATACCCAGCATTATGATGTGACTATCAATGAGTACATTAATTAGAATATAATCCTTATTAGGATGATTACATATGATGCACGTACATGTTCACTTTCAAAGTGCTTTTCTTTCAGAAATGCCCTTCAGAAATATTGAATTATAGAATGATCATAACTGTCAATTATGTTGGCCAGCAGTTATGGCAGCTGTAATCTAGAACCCCATAAAAGGCACATGTTTGGAGACATACAGTGTGCTAGGATGGAGAACAAAATGTATGCTTTTTCTCTCTGCTAACAATAGTCATATTTTATAGACATCCTCTGAATTGTGATTCCTACCACCTGGTTTTCATGTTCTTTGCTGTAAATAATTGAATTTTGAAAATACAGGGTGTAAAAAGTTATCCATGTGAAACAAAGTAAGATAGATTTCTGTACGAAAGTTTGAGCTCCTTTTCCAAATTCAACAAGTACTTTTGGTTCTTTTAGCCGGCTTTAATATGTCAAATGTCGTACATATTCTTGTATTCCAAAGGAATATTTACCTTTTCCTATTTTGTCCTATTTTGAAAAATATTATGCAGTATACATACGTATATTGATTAAAATTCTGCCCTAAGCCAAACAACCGTCTTGAGTATTGAGTAAACTTTCAGTAAACTTTTTATTTCCATAATCTTCCTGGAATTATAAAAGAAGGGAATTTCCAGACCTTGGCTGCCATTGAACTATGGGAGTGAGTTGCCTGCAATGCAAGCCTACCGAGAGAATCGAGCAATTAATATAAATACTGTAGCAGAGGGTTCAGTTTAAATGAAGAGGGTCCATTTTCATCCTGAAACTACTGCTACTTTGAAGGAAGCTTGAGCGTCTCAATACATTTTGATTGTATATTTTGTTTTGGAGTTCAAAGGAGCATTTTGCAAAATACACAACTTAGTTTTCAGCAATTCTCTTAGAGCTAAATCTCACCCTGTTTTTCTGTATGAAAGAAATTGGAAAACACATGAAATGGTGTTTTTGTTGTCAGTTTTGTTCAGTTAGGCAAGCGGGATGAAAACCATGACAATAGTCTGAAGAAAAATGAAAATCCAATCCCCGTGCCACAAACACCTTTCAGACTGGAACAGATTGCTAACATTTAAGGTTTTCTCAAACTGAATCTGCACCTGAAGAGTGAGGGAAAGAAGTATACATTTTACTAACACTTCTTCCCGCAACTATAGTTGGTAAGAAAAGAAAAATTGAATTGTTACAAGTAGCCTGCATTGAAGCTACCACCAATCTAAATTTATTGTTTGGGATTATGCCTGTTTTCTTAACCTGAACAAGTTGCGTATGCAGTTAAGCTCAGCATTTGGGACAGTTAGGCAAGGGATGCAGAAGAACAGCCTTACAGAAACAGATTTGACTTTCCATGTCCTCTTGGAAGCCTAATCCATTTAGTAAGCTGAGTTTCATCAAGCCAGTTTCTTCTCCAAATAATGCTCAACTGCCTTAAATATTCAGTGTATTTTTGGAAAAGTTCTTTATTTTTGTGCATACTTACAAGTTATCCCAAAATAGTGAAGCTGTCGTTTTTGGGGTGGCTTTTTGTTTGTAAAATAATTTGGTATTAGATGAAATGGAAAAGGAATGTAGTACTGTGCTCACTTGGCTTTTAAACCATGAAGGAAACATCCAAGTTCAGCACTAAATTATAATGATATAGTGCAAGTAGGGCTGTTGTGGCTTCAGTTTATCTCTGGTGAGACTTGCAGACTTTTTTCTTGGGGCTTTTGCTCTGAGCAATGCCAATCACCTTTGGTGGGGACATAAATTCCTAAAGCTCCTATCCCAGGGGTAGGCAACCTTGGCTCTTTTATGACTCGTGGACTTCAACTCCCAGAATTCCTGAGCCAGCATGAAGTCCACGAATCATAAAAGAGCCAAGGTTGCCTACCCCTGTCCTATCCCAAGATAATATACTATATTGTCTAATAATTCCCAGAATGCCCCAGCATACTAGCTTCAGTCTGAAAGATATGACTAACGATACCATGTTATCTTTAATTGCTAATCTAGCAGAGATAAATCTCATCAACAAAGGGCATTGCTGCACCTCTAAACTATGGTGCGGATGTCTTTATGTGATTAAGTAACGTTCATTTTATGTGGTTAGTAACTGTTAGTACTGAATTTTTAAGAGGCTCTTTGCCTGCTTTATTAAATTCGATAAGTGTTGGCTGAACTGTATATTCAGTTTGATAAGCACCAGTGAAAAAGGTTTACGATTCCCAGTAGCATTACTTTAAAAGCAAAACTGTCTTTAATTGAATAGCAATCTTAATATTTGTTATTTAGTTCAGCATAGCTCCTGCATCATCACTTTTTTAATTGGGAAAAGAGGACATCTTTACATCTGCCTATGTTATATGTATAAAAATAAAATCAAATGCTGAAATTTAGCACTTTTCTATTTCTTGTTGGCATGAAAAATATGGTTTTCTCTGTTGCCTTATTAAAACAATGATTAGTTCTGTACGTTGTTGTCTAAATGTTGTTAGATCTAAGTGACTTCAAGCTAAACATCAAAGATTTAAATAAAAAATAAAATTGTGTATATATCAAGTTTCCATTATCTTATTTATCCAGCTATTAGTTTGAGAAACATAACATCTACATTATTTTATTTTATCATAGCCCACTACTATAAAATTCCTAAAATTAAACCAAAATCAGAGGATACTTTGATAGGATAAGGGTTACTTTTAGATCAAGATCAATTCCACAAAATGTATTTCTAAGTCTCTGGAAATGGCTGTTGATCTTGAAGGGATCTGAAAAGCAAGCTTATTAATAAGCTCTAGCTATGATGTAATAGCAGCTCACACCTTTTGTGAATAAAGTTAATTGCCTGACCAATAACCTTCATCAGTTATTCAGAAAGGAATTGTTTAGTTCCAAAGGTTTTGCCTACTTAAGAACTGTATAAAATGGTTTCATCCCTGTTGATTTTCCAGAAGTCCCTCAAAACCTGGTTATGCCATCAGGCCTGGGAACCCCAGGGTATCAGCAAAGCACTGAGGAGGCTCCACGGTGGTCGGCATCTGCTGGTCTTTGTAATTTTTAAAATTTTCCCGGATAATAGTTTTATGTGTCATTGTTTTTATTATATGCTGACCAGAACTGCTTTTTTGTGACATGGGCAGCTTTATAAATTTGATGAATAAATGAATGGTGAACTGCGTCAGGTCATTGTATGAAATGCGTGGCCATTTAAATCTTGTGAATAAATAGTTAAATAAATATTCCAGGTCTGGTTTATTAGTATAAACCAATGTTTATACTATAGTGCAAGGTAGTGTCAGGGGATAACTGTGAAAACACTCATTTTGAATGCATTTTTTTGAAAATACAATTTTCAGCCATTATATTCCCAGGTATTCATAGCCAGCACAACAGAGTCCTTCAGCATTTTAATATTCCCACACAACAGTGCAATTTAAACAGACCTTTAATATCGGTATATTTGAAAGTCAAATCTCGATGCGTAAGAGCAGCATAGAGACTACAGTTCTGGAAGTTTTCTCCCAGTTTGGACACCAGGAGGACAGAGAGGAGGAACATGCAATCACAGAACAATGATCAAACTCTAAATACATTGTGAGGTTTGGTCCAAAAACAAAAAAAAAACAAAAAACATTTAAACATAATTAATCCAATTACTGCAAACACAGCTTCTCTGAGTAAAGTTAGATATTGCATTTGTAGTGTAGGGTGTGCTTTCCCTTCAGCGAACCAGCGGGGCCTGCTTGAGCGAAATCAGCACTGAGCGCATGCGGGACACGTCTTTCGCCTGCTTGCTCGACTTGGGGTTAAAGTCACAGAGTCGAGCCACACGTTCCCACTCGGTGCCAGGAGACGAGTCATCAACATCATTCACAAAGACTTCTTCAGCTGCCCTAGAAATAATGCAACACGTTTCATTTCAATGAAATAGGTCTCCCGCCCATTTTCCCATCAGTTGTTTCCTAATTATTTGTAAAAGCATCACCACCATCATCACCCAAAGTAGGGTAAATTTCCAATCCTCCTTTTAGACTTTCAAATTATGGAAGGGGCAATGAGACCCATGTGAACCGAGAGGTGCTAAGTCAAATGACGGAGTATATGTGCTTGGTTTAACAAAGAAAGCTAATCTCAACCTTATATAGTGTACAAGGTTGAGGCAAGTGGGTTTATCAAGAATCAACTCTACAGATGCATAATCTGAGTCTGTGTAATGTGCAAACTTGACCATCAGCGCACAATCGCATTACCCATATACTGAATTCTGCATACAGTATAAATCAGAAGATCCACAATACAATGGCAGAGTATGTGTAATCCATGCAGAAGGTTCCAGGGGCAATCTCGAGCATTTCCATATAAGGCAAGGAAAAAGATTCCAATCTGAAACTTAGGAGAGCTATTAGGAGTCAGATTTGATGATACTAACTTTAAAGGATCACCGTTTGATTCTACATAAGGCCATTTCCAATGATCCTATGGACACCAATAGAAGTTGGCATGGTGTGCTAAGATTGGTATTCGGTTTCCTTCTTAACAGTTATTTTTAATTTTTACAAACTATAACATGAAACTGGAATGCTATTTCTAATGCTGCGGAGAGATAACAGAAATTAGCATGAAAGAAAAGAAGTCATAGCCCTCATGCTTGAAAATGCTATGGACCTAAGGCTGGAGAAAGACTGAAGAAAAAGGCCAAGGAGAAAACTGCTTCTTCATTTCATCTGCCCTCGTGCGCACATTTTCTGCTTAGCGACATCACCACATGTATTGTCCCTTCAATACTAGCATTCTGCTATCTTGCTCACAAATAGGAAAATTATTTTCTGGAACTAATTGAAGCAGACTGTGAGCTCTGAACATAAGCAAATGCAATAAGCAGACCTACTTATGGGGAAGGGAAAAGGAAAAAAAAAACTACTCCCACAGAGTACGGGGGGAGGGGGGAAGCAATGAGATGAACTTATGAAGTTCAGTACTGATCACAAGTATGGTTGTATTTTACAAACACCACTGATGACAAGGGTCACTACAACACTGCTATTTCATGGGACAAGACACTTAAGGGGCAGTGAAGAGTTTACTTAACTGTTCTAGGCTGTAGCAAGGATGGTTTATGTTTGTGCTTTAAAGGTGAAGAGAAACAAAAAGGAGAGTTTAAGTCAGATATAGAAAATGAAAATGAGCATAATGCAGATGGCAAGTAAAGCTGGCCAGACATGCACTTTGCAGCACTATCAACATTCAGGAACAGGTGCCTCCAGAATTTATTTTACATTAGCTGCACTATAGGCACTCTTCTCCTCCCCCAACCAGTTACAGAAACAGCCTTTCTGCCTGAACTTCAACTGCAAAAATCAATGGCAGACACCACCTATAAGTCCAGCATTTCACAAGTCAAGGGGTTTTTCTAGGACTGATCATCTGCCAAACTTCCATTAACATTTGGGGAAAAGTGTCAGTGCTAAATTCAGACTAGAAGTAGGCATGAAATACCCATCAGCCTTCTCAACTGCCATGCCATGAAACTCTTCCGGATTACACAACGAATCTGAAAATATTGTAGGCAATTAAGGAAATATAAATCACGGTGGGGAACACAGAGCCCCAGCTCCAAAGCAGTTTCATCATTATTTCTTTTTCCTCAATTCCTGACATACTCCATTCAACTACAACTTGCTCTGTATAGATAAGGAACACTGACTTCCTCGTCTCCTGAACTTGCCACTAATGGGGTCCTTCAAGCAGGAAGAAGGAAAAGTGTGTTGCAAATTGCTCCTGTCTCTTTCTCTTGGTTCTTTTTTCAAAAACAATTATTCTATCAACACATCTATAATAGTATTCTGTTTTGTCCAGCTGGACTAGCACCAGCGAACGTAAGTATCACAATTCTAGCATGTGCATTGAAGAAAGAGGGCATTTGATTCTGAACAATAAACATCCAGAAATATATAAGAAGCACCTTTTATTTAAACTTTTCAGAGTATAGAACTGGAATATGAACAGAAAAACAGAAAGTTATCCCGCTTTTTTCTGAAACAAGAGTTATTTTTACATAGGAAAGTGGTATAGCTAGATTTTACCTACAATTTCCAGAGCTAAATCCTCTAGCAATATTTTATGACTCTGAATGAATCCTCCCATTCTATATTTTATATATGGAAGTTGTACAAAACTACTTAACCCTTTTTCCCATTCATTTCCATTTCTTGTTAATCACTGCAGTAGTTTTACATCTAGTGTTGCTACAAAGGAGCTGCTGAAGCAGCTTTCATTATTTTATATGCTTGGGTAACATAATCCTAAAAAGTCAAATATGTAAACCGTACAGGAGAAGAGTACTCAGCTATGAGAAAACTACTGTTTTCAGTTACTAAATGTCACCTATATTTAGTTCAACAAAATTCAATTCTGCACGCTAAGCAGTTTAACTTGCAATACAAAATGAAATTTAAGGCAGGTTTGCTTATTACAAATTTGATGAAACCAAATGCTGATTTGGAAAAGTTCAATTTACTATTCAATTGCTATATTTCACCTATTCCAGCATTATCTATTAATTTTAATATTTTCACAATTCACTATTCCAGATATACACTCTGCTGCATAACTCAAACCAAACCATGAAGTTATCTGACATCTCCAGCATTTGCTACATATTAATAACATGTTTACACTTTTTGTACTATATTTAAAACCCAACAAGAAGCAACAACAAAGCTATGGAATCTCTTCCCTTAACATTAGAAAATAGTTCTTCCTTACAATTTTATTTGAAACCTCCGCCCTTCTTTGATTAGAAGCATCTAAATCATTCAGTGAGTAGCCAGGAGTCAATTGACCATTCTTGGATGCTATTAGTATTGTTTATTTTAACTGAATGTAATTGTCCATTCCTGCCTCTGCCGCACCCCTCCCTCCCCAAAAAAAGTCAGGGGTCTTCTTCCTATTTTGTTCTATAAAGTATGTCTCTCTGCTTCGATCATAATAAGAGATTAAAAATGTTAAGTAAAACAGATGGATCAGAATATAACCAGTAGTTAGGCAACATACACATAACCGATCACGTCAGCGAAGGGTTGTTTGTAGAAAGCTTCATCTGCCACCCTAGATGGCAAGTAGTCCACAGAAGAGGCAAGCAGACAGAAGACAAAGAGAAAAGAATAAGCAAAAGGAAACAAAGCCAAGTAGAATTAAATTTCAAACGATTAACATGCAGATTAATCTGACCCTAGAAAACACTTAGAAATTGTAAGTGAAGGAAAAAAACATGTAAGAAATATGTGTTAAGAAATAAACTACACAGTTAAGAAACAACTTAGCTCAAGAAAGATAAGTTAGTCCTTTGCAGACAATCAAACTTATAAAAACAAATCCTGATTGCTTTCTGTAAGTCTTCAGGCATTGCTTTGCCCAATAAAATTTAAAACTACGGGTATATTGGTAAAACTAGGTTGTAAACAACAGCTAATAAAGGCAACTTAACTTACTAATAGCTTTTTAAAAAGTGCCATGGTTTATGTTGAGAAAGGGAAAATCTGCTCTAGAGAGCAAGCATTCTGGCTATATAGTAAAGAGGACATGCCATTTGTCATCTTTGCAGTTCATTTTTATCACAAGACAGGAACTATGGTGGAAGAAGGCTAAGAAGCAACTGTAACTTCCTGACTGAAAATCACAGTAACCGCTAAAGAAAAAAAAACTATTTAGAATTGGCTGTAAAGTGAACTCTCAAAACACAGCAATATTTTTCAACTGCTTCATTCAGAAATATCAAATACTGATTGAAATGAAAAATCTTAACTCCTGTTTTTCAGTTTTTATCCCAGACTACTGCAAGAAGAGATCTAACCAGGTATATACGTATGTATATATACATACACACAAACATACATATTATATAACCATAACAGTCTCTCTCTCTCTCTCTCTCTCTCTCACACACACACACACACACACATATATTATACACCCATAACATGCACAATTACACATACACACTGTCATTTAGTCTTTGGGAAAGGGCTGAGACTGTCTCTATTACTGAAAATACAGTAGTTGTTCAATGGCACTAGCAAAGTCATGGTAATTCTTATTTTATATTTATTTATATATAAAGCAAAAAGAGGGGGAAGGGGGAATGAGAAAATCCTTATCCTGAAGAGTAATGGATTCCTGAAAATTTCTCGGAGAGGATATCGTTTGCCAGTTATAATTAGCATAGAGCCACTATCATGTCAGCAAAAGAATATTAATAAAAAATTAACAAAATCCAGGAATTGATCATTAACAGTATCATTACCTGTTATTTGCTTTTGTTTTCTGTAGCTGCTCATCTTGTCTTGCATACCACTCCTCCAATTCCTTTATTGCTTTTTCCTTCCATTCTGCTTCTTGCTTTCGAGAGTTTGCATCTTTAAAAAAACATAGACACAGACATGTGGTTTATACACAAATATCTCGTCTTTTGGATGAAATAAAGCTAAGATTCTGAACTATTGCTAACTAAAACTATGGAGATTATAGAAGTTCTAGGGGATAAAAATCAATGGAATCTATACAGTTTACCACTTAGATTTCGTTAATGACTATTACTGGCAGTAAGCACAAAGACTAGAATCAATTTCAAGATTATTAGTACAAATATATTAATTCCTTTCTGAAATGTAGCAAAAAATGAAACCAGATCCACCACACCAACAAAGTTCATGATCTGAAATAACTCTACAAGAACAATGAAATAGTTGGTCATATATCCCAGTTTCCTTTTAAATTTTTAATAATAATCATTATCATCATCATCATCATCATCATTATCGTCGTCGTTGTCGTCTTTATTGATTAGGCTGTGGGCCATATCAAGGTGCAGAATTCCAAACACACATTATATTAAAATGCAGTAAAAACAATTTAGAATGGAATTAGTTAAAATATAATTTAGGATAAAATAGAAATAAAATACAATTTAAAATGAAATTGGGATAAAATACATTTTTAAAAAGAAATTAGAATCAAATACAGCAATTTAAGTTGTAGATAGATAAAATATGATAACATTATATTTCACTATCACCCCTACAATCTACGCCAATCAGTCTCCCATATGCCGATCTCAGCCAAACCATTTTGCTCAGGTACTGTGCTGTGTTAAATGTAATTTTCCAATTCTGGCCTCACATAAGGTAAGGTATTTTGATATGGAGGTCCCAACGGGTCATTCATTTAGTGCAGGGGTAGTCAACCTTGGCTCTTTTATGACTCGTGGACTTCAACTCCCAGAATTCCTGAGCCAGGCAGCAGTGAAATAGGATGTGAGCCAGGTCCTCAACCTCTGCCGCTCCGCAGATGCAGAGACATTCATTATATAGGGTATAGAGTGGAATCTCCCATATCTGACCATTTAAATTTTTTCTTGCTTCTGTTTTTGAAATATTAATGGCCAGTTCTTGCAAAAATTAAATATTCTACATAGGACAATGAATGCTATGCAAACTAATCAGCAGAAACACATTATACATGTTGGGGGGGGGATCACACAAATGAATTATTTCTAGCATTTGAGATTATTTGGCAAGAATGGTCATTATATATATTCTATACTTTAACAACAGATCTGCCCAATCTTCTGTGCCTGAATACTTCTCTCCTCTCTACCCAAAGGGCAGGAAGACACAGTCAAAAGGGAGTCAAGATGGATCCAAGGAAGAGGGCCCCCAATAGCAAATGAAGCATGCCTTGCCTATGGCTTGCAATTCGGGGATAACTGACAATACTGCTGCTCCAACAGTCCTTACTCGGTTGAAAATAAAGTTCCCATTAACAGTTATGTGCTGATGAAAATTAGATTCTTACCAAGCTCTTCTAGGCGCTCCCGCTGCTCTTCTCTCCATTTGCGAATGCTCTCTGGTTCTGTCTGCAGACGATCAGCTTGAGATATAGCAGCATAGCAGTCTGTAGGACCATTGCTCTCCTGAGCCAGACAAAGAGGCAGCCATTTTTATAATTGCTCATGAATAAAAATGAAGTTCTAAGGTATTGTTAGCTTTGCTAGGAAAATGTAAGAAGAGGCAAAGGGATCAACAATGACAAGTTATTTGGGAAGATTTGGTAATATATAACCTCCATGGCAAATGAAGCATTAAAAGCCTTAAAGAGAGAAGCAACCTAGAACTAAAGAGAAACTTCCTGACCGTTAGAACAATTAAATCAATGGAACAGCCTGTCTCCAGAAGCTGTGACTGCTCCAACACTGGAAGTTTTTAAGAAGAGACTGGACAGCCATTTGTCTGAAATGGTATAGGGTTTCCTGCCTGAGCAGGGGGTTTGACTAGATGACCTCCAAAGTCCCTTCCAACTTTATTATTATTATTATTATTATTATTATTATTATTATTATTATTATTATTATTATTATTATTAATCTTTTATTCATTAAACATGAACCTCGGTCAACTGAACATTCAAATTGGCTGGTGCTGATGGTTGACACAGGTTGCTACCAGCATCCTAGGTGTCAACCAGGTACCTCATTATTATTATTATTATTATTATTATTATTATTATTATTATTATTATTATTATTATTAGGGATAGGAGAACAGGGTTTCTGGGTTTCAGCCTTTTAAGAAAAGTGTCCTTTGGCTGCCAGCTTAAGTTATGAAAAAGCAAGAAAATCTCATCTTTTGCTGAACAGAGAAGGGGCAACACTAATAATAGTATTTTGCTAAATATAGATGAATCCTAGTCATCTGTAGGAAATAGAGAGTGATATAACTGTCAGATTAGACCACTAGCAAGCATCTCCTATACTTCCCTGATATTACACTGACCCTCAAAGAGGTGCTGCTACTCAATATACTTTTCAAATAATAAATAAGACATATGGTATGTTTATTTGAATTGGAAGATTCATCATGTACTCATGGTAAATATTCAGAAGCCAATTTGATGTAGTGGTTAGGGTATTAGGGTAGAAACCTGGATATTGTGTGTTCTAGTCCCACTATAGGCCGAAAGCCATGGGTGAATATGAGCCAATCACTCTTTCTCAGTCTTAGGAAAGAGGCAATAGCAAACCACTTCTGAAATATCTTGCCAAAAAACCCCACATGGACCTATTCAGGCAGTATCCAAGAACTGGACATAATTGAACAGAAGAAAAACATACGTACCATCGTATGGCTCTTTGAATTACAGGTGGTCCTCAACTTACTTAATACTATAAGGACCGGAAAATTCATTGTTAAGTGGTACAGTTGTTAAGTGGGACATGATGTGACTGTGACTTCTGTCCTCTCCTGCCCCTATTGATTTTGTTCACTGGAAGCCAGATGGGAAGATTGCAAATGGCAAACGTGTGATGCAGTACATTGCAATCGTAATGTGAGTTGGTTGCTCAAATGCCCACATCATGATCATATGACTTTTTTCAGCGCCACGTAATTTTGAACAGCTGCTAAATGAATGGTTATAAGTCGAGGATTAGCTGTGTACAAATCTGCTTTCTAACTACATTCACCATATGACAGGCACTTTGTTAGTGCTTCATACTATCACAATTATTCATCCTTTTTATATTTTATATTACTAATACTTTTCATATTATGCTTTAACCGCACAATATATATTTTCCCACAGAATGCTGTGAAGCTAGCTGATTGAGGAATGATCAGTTCTGAGACAAACATACCAAAGAGCTCAAAACGAAAGGCAAGTTCATAAATACACAAGAATCTGCTGCAGGTGCTGAACACAGAATAGGTGTATATTTATAAATTGACAATAAACAGATATGCATGTGATAATCAAAGTGCCTTGTCAGCTTTTTGGCTGACTCCCCCTCCCTAAGCTATTTTTTTTTCTCCTCAGCATAGTCCTAGCATAACCCCTTGCATCCCAGGGAAACAGTAACAGAAGCTTTTAGGAATTCTTACATTCACATAACTTCTTACACTTGTATCTATGCCAAGATTCAAAGCAAACAGCGAGTGAGTTGCTGAGAGGCAGAAAAAAAGAGAATCCCTTCTGCTTTTCTAAGAATACTCACTAGCCAGCCTTTTAAATTTTAGAAATCAGTTGACAACTCCAGCATCATGTGGGTTTAATACTGAAGTGCCGGAACAGGCAACAAAACTCATTGTCAAGAGTTTGGGTTCAATCAGTGGTGACCATTCTTATAGTAGAATTTCACTTACCTGATAGATATCGCCATTCGTCACTCCATCAATTGCCTCTGAGGAAGAAGAAATGGTCTACGTTAACTTTCTTGGCAACAGAATCTTTCTTTAAAAGAAGCAGCATTTAAGAGTATGTAAGAAAGTAAACTAAAGAATGATGCTTTAGTTATAGTATTGTAAACTAGCTTCTTCACCCTCTCAGCAGAAAATTGAGAGACTATATAAACTAAGAATAAAGAGTACAGAAAGCTCACGTTTCAAAGTTCTTCTCTTTCAATTGTTTACTTGGTGAACAATTTTTTTCAATCTACCTCTTCCCTTTCTAATATAATAATTATAAGATACCACTTTCAAGGTAACTGTTAAAGCCACTATTATAATAGCTTCAAAACACTTGAAATGCTCTAGTATTCATTCCACAAGAAATAAACAATTCTCTGAAAAATAATTCCAATGATTAGAAGTTGATTCTAACCAGAGTAAAGCATAAATTCTACTAGATTAGGAAAATTAAAAGCTACATTTACTTTGGAAGAAGTCATAAATACAAGACACTGCTTAAAAATGAAATGCCAAAAATTACAACTTTCCAATGAGACTCAAGGAACTAATAAGACTGGTGAGACATGATGCGGATGCCATCGGTCAGAGAGTTTAGTCCAGACATGTCAAACTCGTGACGTCGCGCAACGTATCGGGACTGTTTTGCCATTGCCGGCAATGGTAGGGGTGCGGCTTCCACGTGACGAGTCCGGCCCATGGGCCGGCAGTTTGACAGCCCTGGTTTAGTCCCTGAGGTGAGATTGGCCATCCAGAAATTACTTAAAAGTGATTCTGTCAACTAGCTTGGGGATCCAACATTAGAAATGAACCTGCTAGGTGGCTATATATAGTTAGTTGAATGTACTCTCTTGTGTGCTTTCCTGTCATTTTGTTTTATTTTTTATCTTATTTTTCTTAATTTAAATTGGTTTTTAGTGGTTATGTATTTTATTATATATGCCACCCAGGTCACTATGTGAAATGGACAGTTATACAAATGTGTTCAATAATATAAAGAATGCATAAATGTATATATCGGGTAGTCAACCTTGGCTCTTTTAGGACTCGTGGACTTCAATTCCCAGAATTCCTGAGCCAGCTTAGCTTAGCTGGCTCAGGAATTCTGAGAGTTGAAGTCCACGAGTCTTAAAAGAGCCAAGGTTGACTACCCCTGGTCTATATAATCAAGAATGCATAAATGTATATATAATCTGATTGAATCAATCCAGTGGAAGGCAAAGGCTGCTTCATTGAAGATTATGGAGCTTTATCTACCATGCTGGTCCAGTGCGCATCGCTTGATAGATATTTTCAGTATATGGCTGAGAGGACCAAAATCACCCAGCTGGCTTCTGTGCCTAAGCAAGGACCAGAACCAAGACTCCTGACTGCTAATCCAGTACTTTAACCATGACACCTCAGTGGCTCTTATGTTTACCTGTACATATATATGAGTGAAAATGCTACTTAAAAACTCTTAATCTCAAAATATTATTTTCATTTACATACCTCAAATAGTTAGGCAATGCAAAAGTATATATTATACTATGAATTATACAACTAAAATAGAGTACTTTGCAATACAATGTCTAGCATCATATATATATATATATATATATATATATATATATATATATATAT